AAAGTTATTACAAAAAGAAGGTTAATTTTGGACATGCAATTCCCTTTTCTACCAGTAGGAGTAAAATGGAAGGTTGTGAAAAATGTCCACTGTCCCCCTCTTTTGATTGACACTGGTCTCATGTCTACAGGCCCTTTAACTAAAAAGCTATTACAAAAACACCGCCCACTGAGGCATAACAAAAAAACGAAGAAAAATTGCACTTTCCACACGGTCCCTTACCGAAAGCTGCGCGAAGAGCGAGCTCTCCCGGCTTAATGCACATTGCGACGGCTTGTGTGGGGCAGTGCTTATTACATCGAGCGAAAATTATGAAAAAGAAGGCTGTGAAACATGATCAGCTTTGGGCGCATCCATACATTTGATCAATTTGAGGATAACAGAAATAATCTTAACTGAAAGGCTGCAAGCGAAATTGCCGATCTATGGAGCGCCACGGCGAACGTGTGGAAACAGACCCGCGCGAAACTTAAGGCACCCTTCTAGCGTGCTCATCCAACAATTGTGGCTCGCGCATCATGTCTGCGATCAGGCGAAAATTCGGCGAAGACTATCAGGTGGTGAACACCAACCGTGCTATGTCCTTTTCTGCCCCGGCCAAAAGAAAGCGCCAGAGGTTCGTGGAGAAAAACGGGCGCTGCAATGTCCAGCACGGTAACCTTGGCGGCGAGACCAGTAGGTACATCTCTGACCTCTTCACCACGCTCGTGGACCTCAAGTGGCGCTGGAACCTGCTCGTTTTCCTTTTAACGTACACAGTCGCGTGGCTTATCATGGCATCTATGTGGTGGATCATCGCGTACATCCGCGGGGACCTCGGCCACGGCCACGACGAATCGTACACGCCGTGCGTCGCCAACGTTTACAACTTTCCCTCCGCTTTCCTGTTCTTCATCGAGACTGAGGCTACTATAGGTTACGGGTACCGATACATAACGGAGAAGTGCCCTGAGGGCATCTTACTTTTCCTGTTCCAATCGTTGCTGGGCTCGATCGTGGACGCGTTTCTCATCGGCTGTATGTTCATTAAGATGTCTCAGCCCAAGAAACGCGCAGAGACCCTCATGTTCAGCCAGGACGCGGTCATCTCACAACGGGACGGGAAGCTCTGCCTCATGTTTAGGGTCGGAAATCTCAGGAATAGCCACATGGTGTCGGCGCAGATCAGGTGCAAGCTCATCAAGGTAGCGCTTTCTGTAGAAAATACTACTAATGTCAATAGATCCCATGTGGATATGGTGTGTGTTTGCGTACAGGTTTTAAGAGCACAAAGGCGCATCTCTCAACAATGCTATAGGGAAAATATCCTACATAAAATTATGTTGTTGGTTCTGAACGTAGTTAAGAGCAATGTCGGGTGTTTTGATGCTTCACGTGACATATGGGGAGGGGAGCTTGCATTGATTTTAAACACAGCTCGCCATACTGTAAAATTGGCCAATGCCTGTTTGCACCTCTAATGTAATGCAATCCGATCTCAGCAGTCTCTGATTTGCATAGATATCTTGTTTGCTCTCAGAACAAAGAGCAATGACGTGCATACATTAATTGGACACATTCCCATTCTGATTATATGGATTCCTGTGCAAAGCCTTGCGGTAAGAGTATGCTTCTTGGACACAAAGTACATTTCCTTTGGCTCGATGTGAACTGTCACTAAGCTATTGAAGCCTGAGATTAAATATGAGCGGAGTGTTATACCTTCAGCTCAAAAATTCTGACAGTAGGAGAGTAACACTTTCACATTGGTCACATTGCATGTCCACACTTTCACATGGTCACATTGCATGACCATTGAAAGGGCAAAGATGTTCCTATGTTGTTTAAAATTCCATGCCATCTTAAGTAATTCAAGCGAATCACATGTCCAAGCAAATACAGTGTGTTATTTCAAGAGTTACCATATCACCTACCCAGCTCATCTTTCAGCTGTAATTGGCTGAAATACAAAACAAATGAACAAAAATAAAATAACCAAAATAATTATAAAATGCATCACAGAAAATACAAAAACATGATCTGAACTGGAACACAGCAAAATAAAACATTTTAATGAATATTTTTGGTTTGTTTTCAGTAAAAATATCTAGGCTTCATTTAAAAAAATTGCTTGAGAAAATGGATGACATTACTAAATTACATCTGGGTTTCAAGAATATATCTTGCATTATTATTGATTTATTTATTTTACCTTTTTGAGAAATACTGAATTCTGGCATGAAACTCTAGATGGCACAGTCCGATAGGTCTAACTCAATCTGACCTAATGACATCATTATCACATGGCTCAGTTGATTGGTTCTCTCCTGTATCGGTAGCCAATGAGCTCTCTGCTCAACATTCAAATATATGACTAGTGCTTGCCATAGCAGTGCAGCTTGCTTCAGAACAGCGAAATCAACATCTAAGATAAGTGAATGCTCTTCTAATCCATATCGCTGTGTGTATTGCGTGGTCTGCCTAATTGAATTAAAAAA